GTGGAAGAAAATACACATAGTAAAGCCAAGTTTACATGTGCCGTTTGTGCAGAAGCCATACTGAATGGATAAACAAGAAACAGAGGAGATTGGTTACCCGGTGGAAGTGGTTGTGAATGAGGGAGCAGAGATGAGGACGAAGTGGAACTTCTCAAGTGTATACTTTTTGCATAGCTCTAACTCTGAGAACCTGGTGATGTTTCTCATACCCCAAAATTAGTTGAATAATTGAGACCAACCAGATGTGAGGTAGCCCGAAACAGAATGCAGGCAGGAACAAATAAAACTAACCAATGAATAACATAAGTTTAGTGAAGGGGGTGGAGATGAAAAGAACTAACCTCAGTAACTTTAGAGAATAGTATTTTGACTATAGTGTAAAGCTGGAGACAAGAACTGTAAACAGATCCCCTACTACAATTACTTTCTCACAGTGGCACGGATTAGGAGTTCTTTAACAGTTTTATGTAAATATTAGGAACAAGCAAGTAAGTAAGTGTATTGTGGATAACGAGAGCCAGGGTTTTCACTGTCAGAGCTTACAAATCAGGAAAGGCAAGGCGAGACTGAACTCTGGTGTTGGGTTGTAATTGGAGGTATCAGTACAAATATATGGGTATTTAGGAGTATGGATAGTTGGATAGAAATACAAGCTTGTGCGTGTGTGCATAAATATGTCTTCTAGCCCTGCTTACTGGGAGGGCTTGGAGGCAATGACCCATCTCAGCAGCGGTATGACTACATTAGCACCCAGATCTTCGTTTCTAAATACTATACTTAAATAAAAGGAACTGGGGATTCTTCAGGAAAAGTAGGTGATTCCAGGGTTTAGGCAAGGAAATTACAAGAGGAGCTCTAGAATATTTTACGGTGCCAAAAAGGAAGGAAGTGCTTAAAAAATGATGGGGGCGTGTGGAAAGAACACAGGAGTCAACTTAAGGGGATGGAGTTCCTAATCAGCAAATCTGACACAAGTTTAGAAACTAATTATGATAATGAGATATAAGATACAGAATAAAATATATTTGTTCATACTGAAATGAATATATAAATGAAGTAAATGAATTTATATATATTTGATTTTATTTGTATTCATTTACAAATGAACATAAGTTGAAAATAAATGCAAGAGGGGGGACACTTCTTTTTTTTTTTTTTTTTTAATGTTTATTTTTGAGAGAGTGAGAGCGCGAGCGGGGGAGGGGCAGAGAGAGAGGGAGACACAGAATCCGAAGCAGGCTCCAGGCTCTGAGCTGTCAGCACAGGGCCCTATGTGGGGCTGGACCTCCTGAACAGTGAGATCATGACCTGAGCCAAAGTCAGACGCTTAACCGACTGAGCCACCCAGGTGTTTGGGACACTTCTTATTGTAGAATTTCAATTAATGAATGAGAAATGATGAGTATCTCTTCACAAGATGCTTACTGATTTCAAAGGGACATTTTTCAAAGTAACTAGCCAGTACCTTTTGTAAGTGTCAAGGTACTGAAAATCAAAAACGGGGGATCTGTTCCAGACTGGAGAAAAGTAAGGAGACATGCTACCTGAACATAGTGTGGGATCTTGGACCAGAAAAAGGACAGTATAATGGGAAAGTTGGTGAAATTGGAATAAATTATATAGTCAGTAGTATTTTATTATTGTTAATTTTGTCAGTCTTTTCATGTGTTTTGAAGCTCTTATTGTCATGTCATCCTGATGTCCTTTATCATTATGAAATACTCCTTTATCTCTGGTAATAATCTTTGCCCTGAAGCCTACTTTGATCTGAATTGGGTCACTTGAGCTTTCTAATGCTTAGTGTTTGCATGGTGTCTTTTTCATCCTTTTATTTCAACCTTCTTGTGTCTTTATATGTAATGTCCACCTCTTAATAGTGTATTTTTGGCTCTTTTCTAAATCTTTTCTGGACATGTCTTGTTTGTTTAGAGTGTCTAGTCCGTTATATTAAATTTGGCTGTTAGTTTTTTTGTTGTATCTTTGTATTTTGTTGTTTTTCTCTGGCTGTTTTCAGAGTTCTCTTTCCATTTGGTTTTTAAGAATTTGACGATGAAGTGCCCAGGGGTTGTTTTTTTTCTTATTTATACTACTTGTGGTTTTCTTAGTCTTTTGGATATAGTATTAGATGTCTTTCATCAGTTCTGGAAAGCTCTCAGCCATTATGTCTTATCTTTTCTGCCCTATTCCTCTCTTCTTCTAGAACTCCAATTACATGTATGGTAGACAATCTGTTATTGCCTCATGTATCTTTGGATGGCCTTTAAAGTCTCCAATCTGCTATTCACTCTTTCCAGTCATTTGTTTTTTTTATTTCAGATATTTTTCAGTTTTAGGATTTCTTTTTGTTTTTTTTTTTTTCTGTGTTCTAATTTCCTGCCCATTCATGCATTATGGTTATAGTTCCCTTATTGTCTCTGAATGTTGTTAAAATAGCTGCTTTAAAATTATTTGCACATTTCATCATCTGAGTAATGTCATGGCTGATTTTCATCAATTTCCTTTCCTTTTGAACATGGATAAAATGTTCCTGATTCTTCGTAGGTCTGGTAATTTTATCCTGGATATCATGAATAATACATTGTGGAGTGACTTTGTTATATTTTTCTGAAGAGTGATGTTTTTGTTTTATATCAGCCAGTTAATCTTGCGCAAGTCACACTGTAAACTTGGCCACTCCTGTAGTGGACAGCGGCTGAAATCTCTTTCATTCTGTCAGGCTGCTGGACATCTACTGTGTTCGTGCATGTTCAGCAGTCAACAAGAGATTTAAGTAGAGTTTTAATTGCAGAATTTGGTGTTCTTTTTCTTTCCCTCTCTCCTTCCTGGGATTTCTCCTCTCACTTCCAGCTTTTGTGATAGCTTCAAAGTGTCTCCTCTGATTCTTCAAACTAGTAAGATTGCTGGTTTCTAGCCCAGGCACCAATTGGCACCTGCCTTCGGATGGAAATCCTAGTTTACTCATCCAGTGTCATGCCCTTTTGCTAAGTCTGTCTGGTTTCAGCCTGATTTTGGTTTCTCTCCAGGCTTTCTGACAGTTGACTTTTATATTTTATCCAGAACTTAAAGCCATCTGTGGAACAGCTACTCCAACATTACCAGAGGAAAAACTTTACTAAACATCTTTAAAGATAAACTCATCTTGATTTTCATATGCCATATATAATTGCTACTTAATGTTCTAGTGTATGCATCCATCATATTTTGTCTCCCTAGTGACATGGACCTAGGTTGTCCCTGAATTCCTGATACTGTGAACAGTACCATTTAGAACATTACCTGTGGAAAGGTTTCTTTGGCATCTTTGTCCCAAGAGTAAGCTTGCTGGATTATAGTGTATCTGCATGCCTGTTTGCACACCTAATTTCATGCGTGAATCCTCTTCCAGCAGGGCGCACATACACATCCCCAACTTTGGATTTACCCAACTTTCTTATGTTTGCCATTCTGATGGGTAGATGGTGGTATCTCATTTAAACTTGCACTTCTAGAGATGTACACTTGTTCACATGGTTTTCACATTTTCTGTGTTGGTTTGTGTCCGTTGCCTGATTTTCTGCTATGTGGTTCAAACCAGATCTTTACTTCTCTCATGATTTGTGGTGTTTTGGCCATGTCAGATAAGTTCTTTACAGTCTCAAGGACATATTCCTGCCAGTATATGATTGAGGTAGAAATCCAACTTTGATTCTCAGTATGATGTAACCAAATTTTCAAGTGTGTCGTGTTTTGTTTTGTTTTTATTATTAGTGTTTAGAAATATGTTTTAGCATACCATTGGAAGGAATTGACCTGAATAACTTGGTCCTTATCTTGTATTAATTGTCTAAATGACTTTTTGAGATCAGATTAATATTTAGGGGGAACTAATTTAACTGATGAATAAAAGTTTATGTAATAACTTCTGTTAATCTCAGTGGCCAATTCTTTCAGATCTTTCCTGTGTTGACGTACTGTATTCATGTATTTCCTTATTTGTTTCCGTACTTCTTTGCTTATCTTATTTGATCTTTAGAACAACTCCAGATAGAAAGATTAGGTATTAACTCTGTTTTATGTATGTTGAATCTTTGTTTAAGTGATTTGCCTGAGGCTCCTACACCTGGTTTCAGATTTCTACCTCCTCCGTGTTTTGTTTTTTGTTTTTTGTTTTTTTTTTTTGAGAAGCATTTGTTTGCTCAGGCAGCCATGTACTATTGCTGATAATGAATAATAGCCACTTCAATTCACTGTTCTGCTGAGTATGTTTTAAAGGTAATATTTATGAGATTTTCTTTTATTGACTTATCCCTTTTTTCCTCCCTCCCCTTTTTCTTGGAGGAGTTGTCTTAAGCTTTATGACAGTAGTAGTAATGGGTTTTAGTCACACACATACTTTTTGAGGAGAGGGGTGTGCATAAATGGTTTTATTTAGAAATTTGCCAATAGAACCTTAAATGTTGTGAACATTGTTAGACCGTGAGAAGTTTGGTATCTTTAAAGCCATACGTATTATAAATTTTTTCATAGGCTATATACCAGTAACTATCCTTTCAACTTAGATTTTAACCGCTTTTGCACTTAGATTTTTTAAAGCACTCTTGACATATGTTCTGTTTCTGTTAAGTTGCTTGGGAACTTGGTGTTTCTAGGCAGATCATAACACTGGGAGGTAGAGTACTTCTCTAGCTTCATCAGTGTTCCTAAATAAAGTTGAAATTATTTGTTATTGAATAAGTTGAGATTATTTTAACAATTGAGCTTTGGCAGATTCTTAAAAGGGCCTATTTTAATACTTTATTGTATCGAATGTTTTACTGGTGTTAATTGCTCTGAAACATGGCCTGTCCACAACTGTCTGGTGTAAAAGGAACACTCAGTAATGGAACTAGCCTTTTTTCTTTCGGTTGGCTTAAGAAATATGCTAAAGTATCAGTATTATGTAGTAAATCTTAATATATGAGCAAATTCTTTAAAGATAATGCTTTTATTTTTCTTTGAATCCCTTTTTTTCTGCTTTTTAGAGGAAGTATCATTCTGCAAAGGAAGCTTATGAACAACTTTTGCAGACGGAAAACCTTTCTGCCCAAGTAAAGGCAACTGTCTTACAACAGTTAGGTATGTAATAATGGTGTACTATAAATATTTCTCTTTATGATTTTTCCATGTCAGAGATGGCAGATATGTGGCTCATGTATTCTATTCTCTTTTCCTTCCTTTACCCAGAGTTGATAGAATTAACTCGAACCCAGCATATTTCCCCTTTCAGCCAAGCATTGTCCATCTCACGGTCCATCTCATTACGGTTCTTCAGTGCAGTTGGTCCTTTTAAATTCTTAGAATTATTCTCTAGTACTTAACCCATGGGTGAGGGGGATTGAGTACTTCCTTTGTGCCAGATATGCTTAGCACTGAATGAAGTTAAGTGATTTGTGTAAAGTCACTTAGTGGTTGGTGAGCTTGCTTTCTTAGCCCTATCAATAATATTAACTAAAACATTTCATCGAAAAGTTGTGCAACATCTAATGGTATAGTTTTTGTACACATGTAATTCTTTTCTGATGTTGAAGAAATGTAGCCATTTGGATGACACATTAGTGTCACTCTGACCAAGAAGATAGTGATTGAGTTCTCCACGTTTAATTTTGTTGCTTAGTTATTGGGTCATGTTTCTTATCTGTATATGGTGTTTGGGTCCCCCCCCTCCCCCTAGCTTTTGTTTATTTGTTTTTGGTTTGGGCAAATAATTTATTCTTAATTTTTAACCAACATTGTAGTAATATGAATGTTTTCATAATGTGACTATTTTTACATAATTTTAAAATTACTTAAGCCTAGATTTTATCACTGATCTTCATGATATTGATATGTATCATATGATTAATTATATAAAATAAACACATTACCTTAGTATAAAACTTTTGTTTCTAGGTTTGTTTTTAATTTAATCTCTGGTTAGAATTTTACTTGTGTTATCCATACTTTTAAGAATTATAGAAGTATTTGAATATTTGTTTTTAATAAGTTTACAGACCGTGTTTGAGTAGTGTGAATTCATATCTTCAAATTAAAACAAGTTCATTAGTAAAGTAAAGAAAGATTTTGTGCAGTTCTTAAGTAAAAAGAACAAAGTGATACCTTTATCATAAGACAGCTTACTCATTCAGCTAATACTTGAATATGAGCTGTTTTGTTAATCCACACTATTTATAATCAAGTTTTTGTGCATTTCAGCTGCAGTGAGGAATGTGTCAATAGTAAAAATGCATACACCTTTTAAATTTAAGACATAGATTGAAATAGTTTTGGTCTAGTTACGTGTGAATCACTTGTCCTCTTTGGCATTGGCTTACCATATTTCGAAGTATAGAGGTATAATAAACTTTTCGTGCTTTTGAAAGGAAAAACACTGCTCCTAATTAAGTCTAATTTATGCCTGTGTATCAGTCCTTCCCACTTGGCTTGTCACTGCTGCTTCAGCAGCTCCTTTTAGAGCCTGTTTCTCTAGGTTCCATTCTTACTAGTAATAGCAGGAGGTAAGAGGAACAGATGAATAAATGTAAATGTGTTATTGACATGTATTTCTGTAAAACATAGTAACGCAGTCCTTGAAATATATTTTGGAGCACAGCAACTATAATAAATGTCAGAAAATGAGGGTCCTTATTTGTTATATATAATATGGACTATACACAAAGAACAACGCTGATTTTTATGCACTTGAAATGATCCACAGCTGAAATATGACTTCCCCAGCAAATCAAATCAAATTATTCCTGTGTTGTCTTAAAAGTTTTAGAATACAGTATTGCATGATCCAATCTTTTGATAGCTTATATAACTATTATTTAATAAAAATTGTGCATATTTAAGGTGTACAACATGATGTTTTGGTACATCATGAAATGATTAGTATTGTCGAGCTAATCAACATATCCATCTCTGCACATAGTTACTATTTGTGTGTGGTGGGAGCACCTAAAACCTACTCTCTTAGCAAATTTCTATTAATATATTAGAGTATTATTAACTATAGTCATTCTGCTATGCATTACTCTCTAGACTTACTCCTGCTACATAACTGTAACTTGTACCCTTGGACCAGTTTCTCCCCATTTCCCCTACCTCCCCATTCCTGGTAACCATCGGTCCACTGTCTGCTTCTAGATATTCAACTTTTTGAGATTCTACATATAATTGAGATTCTGCACAATCTATATTTATTGATTAAACATTTGTGGTACCCATTTTAAACCATTTTTATTTGCACCATTTGAATATACTTAGACTTCAGTTTTATTTTTAAATAATTGTCAAATGCTGTACAGTTTTTATTTTAGATAAGTTATTAATATATGTGACCATTGCCAGTGAGATAGGGTTGTATGTGGGTGTTGTACTCTGAGCTATCATTGATTAAATCATCTTATATGTACTCCTTGGAAATAAACAATGGGTTAATAGACTGTCTTGGAGAGTCTTAAAATGCACATAAAATTTTACATGGAACAGTGAATTTTTATATTCTTTGTTTCATAACTTGGAATTTTTTCAAACACCAAAATTAGAAAAGAGGAACTGTAGTTTGTAATCTAAGTGTTAAGTCAGTACTTAAAATCGTTTTGGTTTCTCTGGAATAAAGTTCTTTATAGGTTTGACTGTACCTTCCTGTGAGAAACAGACTTCCTTATGGTCAGAATTGGCAGTTCTAAATTTTGGGAATGTGTGTGCCGAACTAAATGAATAAATTGACTGAAAAAAAAATTTTTTACTTATGTGTTTTCTGTTTGGTATTCTTAAAAACTGAAGAACAATTAAGTCATCTATGTAAATATTTTTAATCATTTACTGTAGGTTGGATGCATCACACTGTGGATCTTCTGGGAGATAAAGCCACCAAGGAAAGCTATGCTATTCAGTATCTCCAAAAGTCCTTGGAAGCAGATCCTAATTCTGGCCAGTCCTGGTATTTCCTCGGAAGGTGAGACTTAGCAGACACTTACACTATGCTTTTGTTTATTCCAGCTAAGAGATTGGAATTATGAGCTATATAATTTTGTTTATATTTATATTTGTTTATATTTATAACTTGATTAGTGTCTTTTCCTTTTTAAATATATTGTCGCAAAGATTTCTGGAAAGTTAAAGCTTCTGAATGTGATAGTTTTTCTCAGCATAATCTGGTCAGCCAGGACATTTCTTATTTTGCTTGTTGGATTTTCATTTGACTTGAATCATTGCTGGCTTTTAAAGACTTATCAGATAGTAATTCTTCATCCTAGTATTTAAATGCCTGTCCTTCTGATTTCTGTTATTTTTTTTTTTTTATATGTCTGTTGAACAGAACCGAATTAATTTTTCATTCTGCCTGGTGACCACCAGTAGCCAGTGGAACCTTGCTATTTGTAATTTTGATTAATGATATATACATTAGAATGGACATATTTGATTAATAGTAGGTCTCAAATCAGTTCTACTTGAAATCTCACAGGGAGAAAGTGGATACATTATTATTGGATCTGTTGGAAAGGAGAAGTAACATGTAATGAAAATAGTGTTCTGCAAGTCTGTAAACTTTTCTCTGTACTTTAAATGCCTAAATTGTGCTCACTGATTATCTAAAATATACCTTATGTATGTGTATCTGATAGATTATATTTTGGGGACATTATTAGATCGTCTTTTGGTTCCTAACTGGTTTTAGCTTTTACGGTGTGGTGGAAAGATCAGTGTACTAGCAGCTGGGAGACTTGGATTTAGGTCTTGGCTAGGCTACGGTTTGTAGATCATGGGTGATACAGTTAAACTTTTTGATGCTTCAGTTTTCTTTTAACCTTTTAAATAAGGATTATATTAGATCAGTGGTTTTCATTGGGGGCCTATTTTGTCCCATAGGGGACATTTTATAATGTCTGGAGATACTTGGTTATATCACAACCGTGGGGAGCACTGCAAGCATCTAGTGGGATAGCCTCTACGACAAAAGATTACCTGACCTAAAATGTCAGTAGTGCCGAGGTTGAGAAACTCTGGTTATGGATTATCTGTTAGGTATCTTCTCACCCTAAAGGTTTCGATTTTATGATTTCTTTTGAAATTATCCTATTTTGTTTTAATTTTAAGCTCTTTGAGTGAATTTGCCATGTAATCCCATTAAGTTTTAGTATTTTGTATGGTTTCATTTTTCCTTTAAATTTAGCAAAGTGTGTTTGTATGAGATGGAGTAGTGCTAAGATTTTTTAAGAAAGATGTTTGATTAGTCATTAATAATGTACAACAAGAGTTGGCTGGGAAAGTACCTATTTTTAGCAGAAATTTTCTAATACCTTCCAAGTCCTAGAAAATCATCTAATTTGGGTTGCTCACTAAAAAGCTTGAGAGTCCAAACTTTGTTTTTCTCTTTCACTGAATGAAGATATTTGGGGGCAGAGACTGGAACCTACCATCTTTGTATACTGTCGACTAGCAGAGTGGCTATTGAGTGAATGCAGTAAATGAACTAACTGAACACCATTTGCTTTTCGAGCTAACACCATTGCTGCTGTTTAGTGTTGCACAGTGGGATGCTTCATACAGGGACTGGAAAGGAGATGGAGTACTGGGAAGTAGGGACTGCCTAGACTTTGTCTCTAGTGTTAACGTTTACATACGAAAATTTCTTTTTATACAGGTTAAAAGGCATGTGTAGTTGCAATTATTTTCATTTTGACCTAAGGTGAAGAATAGTAGCGGCTCAGTCAGTTAAGTGTCCGACTTTGGCTCGGGTCATGATCTCGTGGTTCATGAGTTTGAGCCCCTTGTCGGGCTCTGTGCTGACAGCTCAGAGCCTGGAGCCTGCTTTGGATTCATTCTCTCTCTCTCTCTCTCTCTCTCTCAAAAATGAATAAACATTAAAAAATTTTTTTTTTAAGTTCTTAAAGCTCTGAATAAAGACCTCAGGTGTCAGTAAGCAACTTTGGGATTTGATGACCCTAATATTCTACGGCTTTTTATTACTTATGTTCACATTCAGATCTGTGTTGAAGATGTCCTTTGGCATGTGTATATCATAATAAAGGTGTAATGTGGTAATGCTCTCATAGTAGTACTAATCATTGGCAGTGTTATCACAGAACTATAGAATGTTAGAGCTAGGAGGGACCAGGGAGGTCACCTGCTTCACTCTGTAAACCCTGTTATTTTACAGATGTAGAAATAGAGTTCAGAGGAGTGAAATGGTTTATCTAAGGTTACAGTCACACAGGTAACTAAATCAGAACAGGAACTAGAGCCTAGGTTCACATATTGCTTTTTCAAAGACACAGGGCTGTCTCAGGGGCACTTAGTTAAGTTTTGCTAGAGGAAAAGTGGTTGGTGGTTGGACTGGGACATCTGTAGTTGGGCACATTGGTTTTCTACTTTTCACTTTGTAGGAATGGAATGTGAAAACATGAGTTTTGGGAATAACTGCTTGTTCCTCCCAGTGGTTAGGTAAATTTGTCTATAAATCCTGAGATTTGGCTTTGATTTAACAACAACAAACAGAACGTGTTTTCTACTATCTGTTAAGGATTCCCTTTCTTTGTGGTGTCTGTCCCTACATGGCGTTGTTCAAACTTCTGAAGTTATTAACAAACTTTGTGGAAGTTTGCGGGTGCTCTCTGACATTGCCTTCTCTCAGTCACTGACATTTCTTATTACCCAATCCACAAGATTAGTTATCCTTAGGCTTATTTTAACGTCTCCCTTGTAGGTGTCCTATATATATATTTTTAACATTTATTCATTTTTCGAGAGACAGAGCATGAGTGGGGGAGGGGGAGAGAGGGAGAGGGAGAGGGAGGGAGACAGAATCTGGAGCAGGCTCCAGGCTCTGAGCTGTCAGCACAGAGCCCGACATGGGGCTCGAACTCACGGACGGCGAGATCATGACCTGAGCTGAAGTCGGTTGCCCAACCGACTGAGCCGCCCAGGTGGCCCAGGTGTCCTGTATTCTTAAACCCTCTCTTCTATATGGATGAATTCCAAATCTAGATTTCTACATTTCGAGGTATTAAATTTCAGGACCACATCTCTTACTCTTTACCTAACATTATCTATTTTAGTGTTCTCATCTCACGTCAAAGTAAGCATATTTCAAAGCTCATTCATCATATTCTTTTCCAAACCAGCTCTTCTCCTTTTATTTTTGTCAATGATGTCACCATTTCTTTTTTAACTCTCTTTGATCAGGCTTAAAAACTAAGTTATAAGCCCCTGCTATGAATATCTAATCAGTCAGTCACAAAAGTCCTTATATCTTTTGGTTTACTGTATTTCTCCCTTCTTTTTCTTTCTTTCCATTTTCGTTATTTTCACCCCAATTTTGGCCTGTTCCAAACCAGTGAGTATAGCTGCCTTTTTTACTGTCCATAATTTATTTTTCTTTCAGTTTATCTCTACACATTGCTAGCAGATTACTATTCCTATAAAGTGCTTTCATGGTGCCATTTCCCTTGTTAGAAGAACAAAAACTTCAGGGTAACCTCGGGCTGGATTTATAATTCTCTACTATTTGTGCTATCTTATGTACATTAAGTTTTGGTTATACTGCCTAAACAACATTTAAAAAATTTTTTTTTAATGTTTATTTATTTTTGAGACAGAGAGACAGAGTATGAGCAAGGGAGGGACAGGGAGAGGGAGACACAGAATCTGAAATCTGAAGCAGGCTCCAGGCT